ACACATGGACACACCTGCCTACGGACAAATCCTGACACAGCAAAAATCGAAAGAAGCCCCGCCTTGTGGGCGGGATCCAGGGGGATTTTTCGGCATAAAGGAAAGGATCCTGAGCATTGGAAACTAGTGCGACCAGCGGGTCGACTCAGGAGCGAGTGCGACCAGCGGGTCGACTCAGGAGCGAGCTCGACCGGGAGGGTCGGCTCAGGAGCGAGCTGCGACCAGCGGGTCGGCTCGACTCATCTTCAGCTCGTCTGGGACTCAGCCGAGTTCGATCGGCTTACCAAAGCCGGCTCTCGGGGCTCGACTCAAGCGGCTCCCCATCTCCTCTGCAGGCGGGCAAGACCCGCTTGACAGCTCAACCCGGCCTGCGTGGGTCAACCTCTGCCGAGTCGGAGGTCTCTGCTGCCGCCGGAGTGGTGAGGGTCGCGGTTTGGCGACGAGGCTCCGTGCACACCCTGGTCGACGACCCAACACTGCACGCTGCGAGCGAGTTGTGGGCGCCACCTACCGACCGGGTTCCGAACTGCGACAGCGTATCAACGGGCATCCGAACCAGTTCACCACGGTGACAGGGGAGCGACTGATACGTATGACGCGCACCGCCCCCTCACCACACGACCACCAGGCGTCTGTTTGACATAAAGAATCGACTCCGAACACTGACTATTCAAGACAACTCTTACCACTCAAACACACTCGAACCCATAAGCCATCCGTGGCTGGGAAGGCATCACAACGAGACCGAGTGATGGCCATCCGTCGTTTATAAGAGTATTCGTAATTTTTATCTTTAATATTTAGTGGGCTGTACTCTTAATCGCATAAATTCCCAACAGATCCATCAATACGAACTGATTCTTGGCACCTCCTTCCGCCGAGCCACGCTCACGTGGGGAGTGGTGGCCCACCGGATCCTTATCAGGTGATCTGGTCCCCAATTAGTAAACTTGGTATAAGATAACGATCTTCGGAAAAGGAGCACCGTCGCAGGCCCTTACTCCGAGCCGTTCTGTTGTCAGATAACCTGCCGATGTATCTGTTGAGATTGGTGCCTTTAAGAATAATAACTGTTTTTGATTGTGTTTTTTTATCGCCGTATAATCTTTCAAGTATCTTTCAGTCATAATCGCCGCACGTACTCGCATCCTCTACAAAATATTCAACTGTCCCGTGACCCAAGGTGCTAACAACGTGATAAGGGTTGCGTATGATCAATAAGGAGTGCGGTACTGCGTGAACAATATTGAGTATAATCATTCATTAACGTTAAGGTTTTCTTAGCATAGTATTTGCATATTTTAACGACTCTCTCTCTCACTAACAACCATCGCGTTATGCGGGATCCATGTGCCGTTGTCAAAGTGAAATCAGACAATCGTTGATGATACTGTATTGATGCCGTGTTGACGTTCCGGGATTGAGGGTTCGCATACTATATCATAGTTAAGGTTGAATTAGTAATAAATTGATCAATACAGAAGTGGTTGTGTGATTCTTTCCTGAAATCTATGCATAAGATCTGCTTCTGCGTTGAGATCTGAACTTGGTGACCTTAATAAACACACTAATACATACTCAGTAAATGTTAAAGCAATAACGGGGTGAACCGGGGACCTAAAATATAACCACGAATATACACTCTGGGAATGTTAAAGCGAGAATGAGACGAACCTAGACAACGATGCCGAGTTAATCTAAGTTAATCTTGCATACTTACACCACACCTGCATAACTGCATACGATTAATTGCCTTATTCCGATCGATAACCCACCCTCGTCACCGAGGCGGGGTCTGGTTATCATAACGACTTGCATTATCATAATTACACCCACTCGCATAATTAATACGATTACCTCTCGAATTGGCATAATTAAAATGTGCATAATTACATAAATTAACATATTTCCGGATAATTACACATTTGGCCAAATTTCATTTAATTATTATTATTTTCACTGAATATTCATAACCCACATATACAACATAATAATTTCACCCACACACGCATACAACATAACAAATTTAGTATAACCAACATATACAACACCCCCCCATCCCTATTCACCGTATCATTTTTAGCTCCCCTAATTGTACCACTCGTGTAAAGCGCCTTGGCTTAAAAGAGCTGTATAAATACATGTTCGCAAGTAAGTTATTACGTAATAATAAAATATTTAACTTGTCGTGGCTGCCGCTGTTGGATAGGTCACGTGATGGGGTCGCGCGTAATTCAATAGCGACCAGCAAATGGAGTTGACATACAAAAGGGAATATATAAAAGGGAAATTTGTGAATGTGTGTGTCTGTTCGAAATGTTTAGCGTACTTCCCAACATGCAACAAACTTTAAATTTGGCATGTGGGTAGCTTTCAGACTGTACACAATGCAAAAAGTATAAAAATAGACTTTTGTATTTTGGGGGGGGTGGGGGGTGCAATAATGGATATATTTTGCACGGCAAGTGAGCGGTGACGTCACATCTGTGATGTCACCCGCATGCGGCAGCGTCACGCGGTGAGCCTGCTGACGTCACGCGGTGTGCCTGCTGACGTCACACACCCCCCCACCCTCCACGTAGGACGTGTATTAATCCAAGACAAGAATCCAAGTCTCGGGCGAAGCCGGGTAGTAAAGCTCGTCTTCAATTAAACTCAACCCATATGCGTGAAATTTAAACGGGTCATTAAATCCATTTGCATGTTTAAAACCCACTGAGAAATTAAGAATGTTTTTAATTTATGAAGTGACCGATGCTTGGATCTTGCCAAGCAATCGGTGGCCTGGGTCACGTGACGTACTATTTACCGTACAGTAGATGTAGTTCACTTATTCGATTGCACTCAACACGCAAGCGTGAAGTCGAAATGAAACATCAAATCAATCTGTCATTAAAAAAAAATTAACAAATAAAAACATTTCCGGACCGGTAGTTGGATTGGAAACCCGTGGGTGGTGAGTGGCCGGGTCACGTGACGCAACAGCGCACACGTGACTGCCGTAGAGTGAATGGAGTACTGGTAGGAACCTTCTGGTTACACCAGCCCACAGGGGATTATTGTGTCCATCCGTCGTGCAGGGAGGGGCTGGGTGGGGAGGGAGGGGCTGGGTGAGGAGGGGAGGGGCTGGGTGGGGAGGGTGGGGCTGGGTGGTGGGTGGGAGGGGTGGGGCTGGGTGGGGAGGGGCTGGTCACCCCGTGGTGCCCTTATAAAACTCAACGTTTAACCTACTCACGCCGGCTTGTGCCCGCCCTCACAGTCGGGCATATTTGCGGAATACACCACGCCGCCGTTGACCCTGCAGGCCATTGACCGAGCAACCCAACGTTCCTACCAGCTCCCTCTGCAGGATTGTGTTTAACATCTAAAATTAAAACGCAAACCACACGCGGGAAATTAAAACGAAACCTCAAATAATCAGTTGTTTTGTGTTTATTATAAAGGGCCGTCCATAAATGACGTCACGCGATTTTGGCCGATTTTGTACCCCCCCCTCCCCCCCTCGTCACACGGCGTCACAAAAAGTGAGACCCCCCCCCCACAAATGACGTCACAAAGCTCTGCCCCCCCCCAAACCATTTTTCCATTTTGAAAATAAAACATGCTTCAAATAAAATTTCGATTTAAAGACTTTACCGAAAGAACCAAGAGGATGCTTCAAATTACTTTAAACTAAAACTGTTGCCATTGTAGTGCGTATTTAATGTGGCGCTGCACTCTGATGTTGTAGGAGAAAACATTTATTAAAAAGGAGGCGTTGGAAAGTTGAAATTTAGCATGAAACTCAATTGAAAATATTCAACGTCTAAAACTGCAGATGTTCAGAATATTATATTGAAATTCTCTTATAATTAGAAAATATTAAAAGTAATTATAACTCTTCTTGGTTCTTTCGGTAAAGTCACGTAGAAGGGAAGTAATAAAATAATAAAAATAAAACATAATAAAACAATTCTCACAATTCTCAGTGAGAATTGTTTTATTATGTTTTATTTTTATTATTTTATTACTTCCCTTCTACGTGACTTTACCGAAAGAACCAAGAAGATGAATCCCTGCAGTCACGAAAGCTTTAAATCGAAAAGTAATTATAACTATTAAGAAAATACTTGAAACTTTGTAGTAGAACGAAGCAAAATGGAGAGTGCAATTACGACAATCACATTCATTTAGAGAATGAAAAGCCCTGGTAGAATCATAATGTTAAATAACAATCATTGAACAATTCACAACATTTATGCTTCTCTATTCTCCCATGGAGAAGCAAAATGCTCCTTCAAAGCATAAATAAAAGGTGACCTTAGTAAATTTAAATTACCAAATAGTTAATAATGAAAATTAGTGTTGTTTGAACAATTATACCTAATTAATATTTATTTAAAGTTGCGCTTTTTGATGTGACGTCACATTTCTCAAACCCCCCCTCCCCCCCTCGTCACACATCGTCACAAATGTCTGACCCCCCCCCCCCCGGTGCGTGACGTCATTTAGGGACGGCCCCAAAACAACCCCCAGGACAAATAATAAATAAATAACTTTACTGACGTGACGCACCAGCGCACATTTAAATACCGTACCATAAGTGTGGATAACACGTTCAATTAAACTCAACCCATATGAGTGAACTTTGAATCAAAAATGAAACATTTATCTGCATTGTTTTTTTTTAAACGCACTGATAAATTAATACATTTAAAAAAATAATATTTTGTTTTTATTAAACAATAATATTTAATAATAATATTTAGTTTTTATTCACGAACCGGTGGTTGGATTTGAACGCGTAGTGGTGTGTGGCCGCGTCACGTGACATGACAGGTCACATTTAAATGCCGCACAGCAAATGTAGTTAACGCCTCCACTTAAACCCAAACCCACACGCGTGAAATTTCAACGACGAAACAAACGTCTGCAGTTTTTGTTGTTCTTGTTGTTGTGCTCAACCTTTACCGATCAATTAATACTTTTTTTTTAAAATAAATAAAAATATTAAAACTCACCGGCGGCGGTTGGATTTGAACCTGCGGCTGCGTGGTCGGCGTCGCCCGGCCGCGATTGGCGGGTGAGCGCGTCACGTGACGTGACGTCACCCAGCAGGGCCCCGAGAACTCGAGCGGGAGACGTGTCCCCCCCGTGCGCCCCGGGCCCCCCGGGCCCCTCGTCCCCCCCTGTCACCACGCGGCTCCACGTCGCGTCGGCGTAGAAGCGCGCCGAACTCTCCCCCAGCACGAACATGGAGGCGCGGACGAAGCGCCACGCGGCCTCCGCCTTCTCCGCCAGTAAGTCGGGCATGGCTCGGTGTGTGTGGTGGGTGTCTGTGGCGCAGTGCGACTCGGGACTCGAATTAATTCTCGTACTAACTGGTGCTGTGTGTCGCAGTTAGACTCGGAGTCGAATGAATGCTCTTACTAGCTGGTGCTGTGTGTCGCAGTTAGACTCGGAGTCGACTGAGTGCCTGGTGTCTCGTGTGTGTGTGTAAACATTAGCAGTGGGGAGAGACAAAGACGGCCGGGCGTGGTGTTAGCCACCCGCAATGTCGGCACTTCGCGTGTGCTGCTACTCGCTACCGCTAACACTTTGCCCCTCCCTATTCTGGGTGGGGATGGGAGAATCTTTGTGTTTGACGTCGCGAGTTTAAAATAATAAAATGTTTAAATTTTACCTCAGAGCCACCGACTCGCAATGGCGGGTCGGAGGGGGGGGGGCGTTGACGTGGAATCGATTCTTGCGATTGTTTACCGCTTATCGATTCGCGGCAATCGATTCCTCCCATCGGGTTTTTTGCGGTGGAGTCGGTAAATGGTAAAGTTGCGACGTCGATTCGATTCCTCTTTGGGTTGACCGCGACGGTGGAATCGACGCCGATTAAGGGGGAATCGATACAACTTTATTTCTTAGCGGCATTTAACTAATCTTGATTTGAAGCTTAATTGGAGACTGCAGCAATCCAGACTCTTTGGTTCTTTCGGTGAAGCCACGTAGACAGACGATAGATCGCAACACAAGCAGCCGTCATCAGGTGATGACACCACTGGGGCTCCGCAAGCCTCTCTCCTCAGCGTGCCTGGCAAGGCGATTAATTCTAGATTTGAAGCTTTCGTGACTGCAAGGATTCATATTCTTAGGTTTTTTCGGTAAAGTCACGGAGGTAAAACATTAAAATTAATAAAATAAAAATCACAACGTTTCGGAGGCAACACAAGCTTCCGTCTTCAGGTGGAACCGTCACAGCCTCCGAAACGTCGTGATTTTTATTTTATTTTACTTTTATTAATTTTAATGTTTTACCTACGTGACTTTACCGAAAAAAAAACCTCAGAATATGGCAAAGCGATGTTGAATAATCATTGCCAGGACCTTTCCCGGCAGACAAAGATCCCCCGTGTAGCCTTAACAGGCTGTAGGGGCAAGTGCTGTTAGCGAGCAGCACCTATGAAGGCCGGCACGGCACACGAGGGGTGGGTGGCAAGCACCATGCCCGGCCGCCTTTGTCTCCCCAAGTGGCGATGTTTACTGCACACCGCACCAGGTAGTCATTTGAGGCTGAATCGACTGGGATAACCCTGCAGCAGCAGCAACATCGCTCCCTACTGACAAAAATTGGTAGGCACATCCTTTTATTACAGTGCAATGGTACCCCGGAGATCGAACTCAATTCGTTCCAGAAGGCCATTCGAACACCGATTTGTTCGAACACCGAATTAATTTTCCCCATAAGAATTAATGTAAATGACAGTATTTGGTTCCAGACACAAGAAATCTCTCATTATAAAGCATTTTTACACGAAGTTTACAGTCATTACATGCATAAAATCATACAAAAAAACAAGAAACACAATAAATGTAATAAATGAATAAATATATGGAATAAATGAAATAAATGAACATTGAACTTCACTTTACCTGTAGTAAGGAGAGTTGATGGCTTGAGTGGAAGGTGGTGAGGTGGAGGAGGAGGTGGTAAAACCTTTGTCTGGGCAAGCGTCATGCACGCTGGCCATACGCGTCTCAGCCGTACAGGTTCTTTCAAGTGGCGATTTCCCGTTCGACCTCCGAATTTCGTTCGGTTTCCGGGGCAAAAAATGTTCGGAAATATCGTTCGAACACCGACTTGTTCGAGTTCTGGTGCGTTCGATCTCCGAGGTTCTACTGTGTTTGTTATTTCAGCAGGTAAATTTGTCCTTAACCCACCGCCACCCGACACAGCCAGTTTAAACCTGAAAGTTGTTTTTTATTTTAACAAGTGAGGCACCACTGAGCTGTATAGCTCGTTTTTAGAAGCGGCCTGACTCTCACAAATGATAGCGCAATGAAGTGGCTTACCTTCATGTGGAAATTTATAGCAGCCAAATATTACAAAACGTTGATTCTAAATGTGGAGAGAGAAAAAAATCCACGTGACCACGGGGAGAGAAACACGCAAACTTCAAATATGCAGCAGGCGTCAGGGTCGGGATCGAACTCACGACCTCCTGCGTACCAGGCGAGAGAGTTAACATCTCCCCACCGCGGCGCCCCGTGCATTACCAAAGCATTTTTGTTTGCAGGTTTAACCACAAGTATGTGCAGTTAAAGAAGACTTTAAAGCCTTGTAATAGCCACATTACCCTCCGACTGCAATATACAGGAACCTAAAAAACTTCTACAGGACCTCCTCTACTTACGAACAGGTGATGTTCCAGAGGTCTATTCATCAGTTGATTTGTTTGTAAGTCCAACTTTACTCCTTTCGATTCTAAACGTGTTGTACGGCGCGTACACTAAACACGGGGAATGGCCTCCAAAGTTGTGCAATCTCCTGTAGGTGTAGATGCTACTGGGTCATGTTCTTCAGATGTAGATGCCACTGGTTCTTCATGTTCTGCAGATGTAGATGCCACTGGTTCTTCATGTTCTGCAGATGTAGATGCCACTGGTTCTTCATGTTCTGCAGATGTCGATGCCACTGATTCTTCATGTTCTGCAGATGTAGATGCCACTGATTCATCATGTTTTGCAGATGTAGATGCCACTGGTTCTTCATGTTCTGCAGATGTAGATGCCACTGGTTCTTCATGTTTTACAGATGTAGATGCCACTGGTTCTTCATGTTCTGCAGATGTAGATGCCACTGGTTCTTCATGTTCTGCAGATGTAGATGCCACTGGTTCTTCACGTTCTGCAGCTGTAGATGCCACTGGTTCTTCATGTTCTGCAGATGTAGATGCCACTTGTTCTTCATGTTCTGCAGATGTAGATGCCACTGGTTCTTCATGTTTTACAGATGTAGATGCCACTGGTTCTTCATGTTCTGCAGATGTAGATGCCACTGGTTCTTCATGTTTTGCAGATGTAGATGCCACTTGTTCTTCATGTTATGCAGATGTAGATGCCAATATGTTTTACATGTTCTGCAGATGTAGATGCCACTGGTTCTTCATGTTCTGCAGATGTAGATTCCATCGATTCTTCATGTTCTGCAGATGCAGATGCCACTGATTCTTCATGTTCTGCAGATGTAGATGCCACTGGTTCTTCGTGTTTTGCAGATGTAGATGCCACTGGTTCTTCATGTTTTGCAGATGTAGATGCCACTTGTTCTTCATGTTCTGCAGATGTAAATGCCACCGATTCTTCATGTTCTGCAGATGTAGATGCCACTGATTCTTCATGTCCTGCAGATGTAAATGCCGCTGATTCTTCATGTTCTGTAGATGTAGAAGCCACTGGTTCTCCATGTTTCTGTAGATGTAGATACCACTGGTTCTTCACGTTCTGCAGATGTAGATGGCACTGCCACCATCTATTGCGCGTCCGTTGAACTAACGACTCTCGGTCCGGACAGGCAACTGGACATATGGACAGGTTTTTTCGTATCTTCGAAAATTCGGGGAGGGGGTGGATTTCCAAAAACGTCAGATAATCACGAAACAAGAATGATTTAAAATTGATTATTTTTACACATTCGTGCATACCATTATGTTTTTAGGTGTTGTGTGTACAGTTTTTTCGTGTTTTAAATGTGTTTACTATTGAAATTGGTTTAAATAAACATACAAATAATAAAAAAATTAATATCCTGTAAAAAGTGACTTAGTTTATTTAGTAAATTATTTTAAAAATGTGTTTTATAATATGTTCATGCCGAGCGTCTCCTACTATCCTGTACAGCGCTTTGAGATCCTTGATGAAAAGCGCTATGAGTGTAATTATTAGTACCGTACTTACCACTCTAATCTCGAAGACTGCATCATGGGGTGATGTACGTAGCACCACCCATGATGTGTTTGACGATCGCCGGACTGGGTCACAGCCTTCGGAGCGGTTTTGCCGGTTTCGCCGGATCGGCCCGGGACCACCGGATAATGTTGGAAGCATCCGGATAATTGCGCGCCCGGATAATCAATGATTGTGTATATAGATATTTTTCAGAAACGATCTGTGTATCACAAATGATAGCCCCAATTAAATGGCTTATTGGAAATGTATAGCAGCAGCCAAGCACCTTCAACGCGTGGTGATGTTGATTTTAAATGTAGAGGGGGATAAAACCGGAGGACCTGGAAAAAAATCTACGTGACCACGGGGACAGAGAGAGATGCAAACTCCAATATGCAGCAGGCATCGGGGTTGGGATTGAACCGACGACCTCCTGTACACCAGGTGGGGTAGTTAACATATCCTAGCCCACCCTGATGATGATGATGAGAGAGTGATACGCAAACACCAGGCATACAGCAGCAGGCATCGCCAGTGTTGGGATCGAACTCACGATCTCCTGTACATCAGGCGGGGTAGTTAACACTGTGATGATGTCAAACCCCCAATGAATTTTAAATGTGTGGCGGCCCCTTCACATACGGATTATGTCTTATCGGCGACAGTGCCCCACTCCCTTGCCCCATTGGAAAATGAGTGAAGAACCACTGGAATGTTCTGAACAAACAATAACACCGTTTAGCAGGCAGCAGGTGGCGTTATAGCCACGTAAAATCTCTTGGACGCAGCCACGGAAAGTGGCCTTTGTAACCACGGACGCAGCAAAAAATCGAAGTTTTCACGATACGAATATTATCGCCATTTCACTTTTCCCAGTAACTTTGTAATAGCATTTCACGTTATCTATGCGACTTATGTAATTCATTTATCGTGAAAAAATGGAAATCTTATATTCAGTGACTCGCTGACCTATTTTCTCTCTTTTCCACCGCTACCGTGTTTGTATTTTGGGGTATTTTGCTTTTATCACTTTCTGAACCCGTGCCACATTTAAAATGTGAGTGTATTTGGCGTTTCGCCGGTGATCACAACCACCACAAGCAGCAGCTTCATCAGGCGATTTGCCGTAATCACCAGCGGCACGTCGCAGTACTCATTGTAAATCAGAATCAGAATATTTGTTCATACTGGAGGAGAAATCCGATGAGCTATGAAGCTCATTTTTACCACAGATGTCCAGTAATGGGGCCACAGGGTAAGAACGTTCCAACAACAAACGGTACACAAACACGATAGTAGTGAAAAGTACGAGATAGGTAAACTAATTTGGATTTACTCTCCAACACAATCGGTGTGCTGTTGAAGTAATAGACCATTGGCAAGTTTTGTTCGCGTGACAAACCTCACCAATTGGCCTGCTTCGGGTGGTGGCGGGTTTAACAACACGACGTTTATATTCACGCGACCTCTAACTCCAATAACCTTCATTACGAACAATACGTGTCTCGA